AGGTTCCCTTGATCCAAGCAGCTGCCAGCCCACTCCAGCTCCTCCAACAGACCCCCTTGCAGGCTGTGCTCAGTGGCTGAGATACGGGCCATCCTGCCCTGTGTCGAGGTTCAGAGGTGGAATCCAGACCAGTGGGTGAAAGTTCCACAGGGCAGACTTTACATCCATTTAAGAAGGAAGAATGAACTCTTCCATAATGGAGTAGGCTGACTTCTAAAGAGGGGTCCCTGTCCCCAGAAGTGTTCAAGCAGAAGCTGAATCATCCCTGCTTGAAGAACTAGAACAAATTCCCAAACTCACGGAGAAACTGGACACTAAACTCTCGGGATTCCTTGCTCCTTTAATCATCCTCTATTCTAACTGTCCAGACCCTCTTTGGTGACAATATTTTGCATATCCCGGCAATCCTCATTTTGGAAGACAACCCCTAGTCGCTGTGTAACTCTGGTGAGAAATGGGCTGGCAGCTAGTATGCTGGTCCCAGTGGCTCTGAGTATTCTACTTTAATATGCCTGGTGCAATGTGTACACCGAGGGATGATCTTGATCTCGTGCAGAGCTATGAAGCCCTCACCCTGCTTGGCCCTTTGGCTGGGAAGGGGGTGGAAAGGACTCCAGTTCAGAGCTCTTCGTGAGGCAACTGACACCTGCTGCCGCTAGGTTGACATTTACCACTGTCCCCAGCCACAGGACTGGGCTCAGTCCTCCCAGTTCTCCAAGGAACCACTTTCTGGGGGTGGGCCCACAGGATTCATGACTTTTCTATCCACACTTTCTGTGGGATTCACATGCCACCTACTGAGGAGCAGCAGCTTGAGCGGCCAGGTCTGGAGGTCAATGGGTCTGACCCTTCACACTGTGCTGGGCTGGCTGACTCGGGGGTCTCTGGCTTGCTGCATTCTAATGATTGCACCGGCCTCTGCTCTCAGCTTGCTGCCAAGGCCATTGATCCTGCCCTTACAGCTCAGGGAGGAAAGGACTAGGGGGCTAGGCAAAGCCGCCAAGAAAAGGGAAAGGAAAGTCTCCCTGAGGTTAGGGTCAAATGAGGGGACTTAATGTTTAAAGGACGTAGGTTGAGCCCAATTAGCTTTAACCTTTTTCTTTCTGTTACCTCATAAATGGTTGTCTTTACTTTGGGTGGCATAGAACTCTTGACAGAAATAGCAAAGGTCCGAGGAAACGTGCCTTTATTGGACTTCGTAGCACATTCCTGAGTTCTTCCCCGCCTCCAGCTGTGCTGCCCAGACCCCCCGCAAGTCTGCAGGTGAGCACAGGCCAGGCTGCCGCGTGACTTTTCACAGGGAACGATGGTCCCTAGTTGTTCCCAAACCATCGAGGATTTCAACACAGGGTCCAATTCTGGGAGCTCACTTCCAGATGATCCAGATGATCTGTGGTGTATGTGTGTGTGGTGTGTGGTGCATGTGTGTTGGGCATGTGGGTGTGGTAGGTGTACACCGTGTGGTATGTGCAAGTATGTTTGTGGTATGTGTATGCTGTGTGGTGTGGTATGCGCATGTTTGTGTATTGTGTGGTGTGTGTGGTGTGTATGTGGTATGTGGTGTGCTGATGAGAAGAATGAATATTCTGAGGTTGTTGGATGGAATGTTCTGTAGATATCTGCCATGTCCAATTGGTCTAAAGTTTTGTTAAGTTCTTGTGTTTCTCTGCTAATTCTTTGCCTGGTTGATCTGTCCAATATTGAGAGTGGGGTGTTCAGGTCCCCTGCTATTATGGTATTAGTGTCTATTTCCTTTTTTAGTTCTAATAGAGTTTGTTTTATAAATCTGGGTGCTCCAACATTGGGTGCATACATATTTATGATTGTTATGTCTTCTTGATGCATCAGTCCTTTTATCATTATGTAGTGACCCTCATTGTCTCTTTTTATGGTTTTTAGTTTAAAGTCTATTTTGTCTGATATGAGTATAGCTACTCCAGCTCGTTTATCTTTTCTGTTTGCTTGGAAGATCTTTTTCCATCCTTTCTTATTCCTGCATTTTATTAATTTCTCTATGGTTGTTTTACATTTCTTATGTTCCTTTTTTTCCCTTTTATTGTTTATCTTTGCTGTTGGGTGTTTTTTTGTATTGATAAAATCCATTTTATTTCCCTTTCTCATTTGCATATCTGTTCTACTAGCAGATTTTATTCTTTCTCATGTTTTTATAGTGACATATATCTCTCTTTTGATTCCAGATGTAGGACCCCCTTGAAGATTTTTTGAAGGACTGGTCTTGTGGTGAATTCCCCCAGGTTTTGTTTGTCTGGAAATATACTATTTCTTCTTCATTTCTGAAAGAAAGCTTTGCTGGATATAGTATTCCTGGTTGACAGTTTTTTTGTTTTATCACTTTGAATATGTCATCCTACTGTCTCCTGGCCTGTGGGGTTTCTGTTGAGAAGTCTGTTAGCCTAGTGGGGATTCCCTTACAGGTAATTTAACACTTTTCTTTTGCCATTTTTAGAATTCTTTCTTTGTCTTTGACTTTTGATAATTTGACTACAATGTGTTTCAGGGAGGTCCTTTTTTGACTGAATATGTTTGGGGATATTTGAGCTTCTTGGATCTGTAAGACAATCTCTATCCTAATATTTGGGAAGTTTTCAGCTATTATTTCATTAAATAGGCTTTTAATGCCTTTTTTCCCCCTCTTCCCCTTCCTGTACACCTATAAAACAGATGTTTGTATGGTTAATGTTATTGGAAAGATTTTTCAGGTTTTCTTCATTTTCTAAAATTCTTTTTTCTTTTCTTTTTTGGTCCAGGGTGTTAATTCAAAAGCCTGTCTTCTAGTTCAGAGGTTCTTTCTTCTGCTTGTTCCAGCCTGCTGTTTATGCTCTTGGCTGTATTTTTTATTTTTATTTTTTAATGAATTCTCAGTTCCAGGATGTCTGCTTGTTTTTTCTTTTTTTAATGCTTTTATCTCTTTGTTAAATTTCTCATACATGTCTTCAAATTTATTTTTGCTTCATTGTGATTTCTATCTATTTTTTCATCCGTGATTTCGAGTTTCCTTAGTATTGCCCTTTGGGATTCCTCCTCAGGCAATTCAACAATTTCCTGTTATTTGGGTTTAGTTTTGGAGAATTGTAGTCTTCTTTTGTGGAAGACAAGCTTCCTTGTGTTTTCTCATATCTCTCCGTTGATGTCTGGGCATCTGGTGGTGTAGTCCCTTCTTCTAATTCTAAGAGTGGTTTTTTGAAGGAGGAGACTCTTTCCTGTGGAAGTATTCTATAGTAATAGTTGGGTTGGATGTTTTAAGTTTGGATATGGGTGAGTGCAGTTGTGCAGACTTTGTGTGACTTCTTCAACTGTATTAAAACTTAGTGTTGTCTACGGGTGCCTTTGTGGCCTAGGCAGATGGGACCTTGACAGTTTCTTGTTGGGGTGGGTGTCTTGTTGGGGTTAGTGCTCCACTGTCAGTCAAGGGGTAGATGTATACTGTTGCAGCAGTTCCTGGTAGGTTTGTAGAGGGCCACTGGCTCAGTTATTGAGCCTGAAGCAAATCCGTGTAGATGCTGCAGGACCTAGCAGCATTCTACAGGGGTGCTGTAGTGAGGTAAAGCTACTACCTGATCAGCTGTTGGTTTCAGAGTAGGTGTACACAGCTGTTGCAGGGCCTGGAAGCTCTGAAGTTGACTGCCTGATCAGCTGTTGAGCCTGATGCAAGCGTGTAAGTGTGCAGCTGAGGCCAGCAGCTCTTCAGAGGCCTGCCTTGGGTTGTCAGAGCCCCTACGTGGTGTCTGCTGTCAGTCTGGGAACAGATATGCACTAAGGCAATGGGTCTTCGGAGCTCTGTGGAGGACGACTGGCTCAGCTGTTGAGCCTGGAGCAAGCCTGTGTGAATGATGCAGGCCCCAGTGGCTCTCTGGAGGCATGCTACAGGAAGGGAAAGCAGCTGTCTAATCACTGTTGAGTCCGATATGAGCCTGCAAGGGTGCAGCTGAGCCCAGCAACACTATAGAGGCCTGCCGTGGGTAGAGGGTGCTGCATGAGTTCAGACGCTGGGGTTTCAGTCCTTCCATCTGTCCTTTGCTCCGGGCAGCCTGCAACTTGGTCCCACCTAATGAGCACAGCAGAATGTAGTCAGGGACTCCAGACAAAGGGACTTAGGCTCGCTGGGTCTGTGTATGGGTCTAAGCTCCAAATAGCTGGGATTGTCCCTGCCGGAGCCTATGCAAGCCTGTGGAGGGTCCCGGTGGGAGGCGGGGCTGTGGCTGGGTTACCTATGGGTCCTGAGGATACTTGTGGGCTCAGCTCCCACATGCTGTGCAAGGGAGACTGTGAGTGTGGGGAACCACTGCACTCCCGCAGATTTCCACTGAGCAGGTCTGCCCGTCCACCTGAGGCGAGCAGGTACTGAGTTCAGATGTGGGTCCCCAAAGTGGGGATCACTGGCATCTTTGGTGGCGGTGGGAAGAGCTGGGGTCTTTTCAAGCTTACCTTTTCTCCTCCTACTTCCTGGCTGGCCTCCGTGGTGGGGCTGAGGCTGGATGCCCTATTCTGTGCTCTCTATGGTGCCCTCCCCTTCTTCTATGCTTCCCAGGAATCTCCTCACTTTCCTGGTGCTCTGCACCAAGTTTCCTCACATCCCAGTCAAAATATATTTGTTTGTCTGTTGCTTTGGTCTCTTTTTATGGGGAGTGGACTAGCACCAAACTTCTCTAGTTGGCCATCTTGAGGGGGAAAAGAAACAATTCTTAGAGTCTTCTTTATCAAGGTTCATTGGGATTTATAAAATCCAGGGTCAACTGAGAGCATCTGGGATTTGTTTTTTTCTATTTTGGCCAGAGTATGTATACTAGAATTTGTTGTGGAATGGTGAGTTATTTGCGTTTTCAGGAAATATGGTAATCTTGACTAATTTCTTAGTATCTAGGCCTTAGTTTCCTGGTTCTGTAATAATAGTTTTGAACCTCAAAGGTTTGTTCTACAATGTGACCTATTTAAAATGAATGTGTATTTCTGAATTAAAATGGTCTACTCATTATAGTACAGTGGAATGATGGATATTTGCTTCACTGTATCAGAGGTTATGTTTATTAATATTTACCAAATGCAGATCTTGGTTTTACCTGTTATTTATCAAACTCACAACATATTTAACTAAGAACACCAGAAGAAGGAATCTTTTCTGTATGGTCTATACAAAAGCTGATCTCATAATTTTGCCTCTTTTTATGCACTTGAGATGTTGTGTACATCTGACTGCACAGTGTGAAGCGAGATCCTGACACTCATCCACATCTACCTTGGTAAGCACCACAGCAGCATACTTTCCACACAGGGAGCAAAAGTAGAAGCAGGCTCTCACCATGCGGCTAAGTCAAGAGCATCTTCCTCTTCTTGGAATAATGCCTCAAAGCCTTCCTTGCTTTCAATCACCTTCAGCATTTCAACTGATGGGGGCTGGTGTATGTCTGTGTGCAGTGACAGAAAGGACACAACCTCACCAGCAGCCTGAGCCTGGAGCAGCCCACGTCTATTGCCCTCTATCCTTTAGTACCCACAATGAACCTCATTATGAAATTAGGCTTGTGCAATTGCTAATGCCAGGGGTTAATCTTTTTTATTTTGCCCTAATATGCTTCACTATAGTTGTATTCTATTGTGGTGAATGTCACTGTTCTGTTAACAACAACAACAAAAGATTATGTTATCAAAGGGGCAATAAGTGAGCATTTTAAATTATTTCATTTTTAATAATTTGGCCTATTAAAAAAAAACAAACTCTACCTATAATTTACTCAAAGGTATTTAATATGGTGCCCTAACTCCTATGTCAACTATTAGCTTGCTGGTAAATTCCAGGCATCAGGGAAAAAAAAGTGCTCCAAATGACAGTAAGTTTATTGCAGACAGTCTTATAAAAGATCCCCTAGTGTCAGGAGATAATGGAAGTACATGCTACCTATGACTGAGCTAAAGTAGTGCCATGACCTGGCAGTTTCTTTTCACTGCTGATATATCCCTGCACTGCATAGAACATCAGCATTGCCTTCATCTAAATTTAATAGGGTTTCCCAGTCAATGACATAGTTAAATACATTGTGAGAAGAAGCAGGGGCTTTCAGGGATGACTCGGGAAACTTAATTGTTTTTCCATTTATTTTTAAAATGCAAATTACACTAGTAAGTCAAAAAAATCACTCTGTTAAAAATACATTCAGAATTAACAAATGCAAAAAAAAAAAAAAAAGGACACATCAGGATTGTAACTCTTGCCTTCTGAATATTAGATTTATAACAAAAGCTCAGCCTAGAAAAATAGCATTCTTCACCAGATTTTGAGGAGGATACAGCTGTACAATTTAGGTGTTTTCCCAGAT